GGAGTCTTGCTCTGTCGACCAGGCTGGAGTGCAGTGGCCGGATCTCAGCTCACTGCAAGCTCCGCCTGCCAGGTTCACGCCATTCTCCTGTCTCTCCCGAGTAGCTGGGACTACAGGCGCCTGCCACCTCGCCCGGCTAGTTTTTTGTATTTTTTAGTAGAGACGGGGTTTCACTGCATTAGCCAGGATGGTCTCGATCTCCCGACCTCGTGATCCGCCCGTCTCGGCCTCCGAAAGTGCTGGGATTACAGGCTTGAGCCACTGCGCCCGGCCAGAAGGCTCTTTAATTCCCCCTGATTATAAAGGTTTTGTGCAAACATAATTTGGTGTAATAAAAAAATATTTACACAAGAGACAGACACATACTCGTCAGTGTGTACGGTCATAATTTGAACAAGCCCTTTTAAACTTCTAGATATCATTGAAACTCCTATGTTGATTAAAAATGATCAAAAGATCTTTCCAGTGAGAAGGATGAAAAATACTAGTGAGAATGAAGTATCACTATTTCATATACGTGCCTATATGTGCTTACATATGCTTACATACAGCACATGCTGTAATACAAGGTGACATTTAGGGGTTGAGACTGTTAACATCTGATTATACCTTGCTATTTATAACTTACAATCTTTTATTCACATTTCTCAAGTGCTATGCCTTTAAGTGCCTATACATCATGCTATCATAGAATTTCTAGGGATAAGCCGGGGGTGGTGGCAGACGCCTGTAATCGCAGCACTTTAGAAGGCCAAGGAGGGTGGATCATGAGGTCAGGAGTTTGATACCAGCCTGGCTAACATAGTGAAAGCTCATTTCTACTAAAAATACAAAAATTAGCTGGGCGTGGTGGCGGGAACCAATAGGCCCAGCTGCTCAGGAGGCTGAGGGAAGAGAATCACTTGAACCTGAGAGGCAGAGGTTGCAGTGGGCGGAGACCACGCCATTGCACTTCAGCCTGGGTGACAGACTGTAGCTCAAAAAAAAGAAAAAAGTGTAAAGGTAAACTGAGGCTGGAGCTGAACCGGGAACGAAGACACAAGGCAAATGGCAGTGAGAATAGCCTTTTATTAGGACTCGCGGGCGAGGTTCCTCAGTCCAAAGGCGCGGGCCAAGGAAGTCGCGCTGAGGGAGGAGGGTAGGGGCTTATAGCCTGAGAGGTAGGGAAGCTGGTTGTGCAAACGGGGCCTGGGGGTCTTGAAACTACTAGGGCAGCAGGAGTTGAGTAAGGGTCATGAGGAAGGGGTCTTTGGAAACTGTTAACTGCAACTGCTGTTTACGAACTTGTGGAATGCAGGTGAGCTGCAGGTCATGGGGGCGTGTGGCTGCCCAGCCAGAACTCTGACGCATGTAAGTCTGCGGGTGTGTACAAGGGTGAAGGGAGTCTTTAACAAAAGGCCTGCTACGCCGGGTAACGCCGCCATGTTGGGTCTAGATTCCTGCCTAACATTCCGACCTCTTTCTAATAAGAAAATGGGGTGATGTGTTCATCTGGCTGCTTCCTGCTGGTATGGGTCGTCGTGGGGTTCTTCGGAGGTCGGAACTCGGGTATGGGGTGGAGCAGCATCTGATTGAAAGTGACCTGGGAGGCTTCTTTCATGCGGTCCTGGATGAAGCGGAGGACACAGGGAGCTATGAGTAGCAAGAAGCCAATGATTAGTAAGGCTTAGAAAGGGTAAGACTTAACCGGCCATAGACGACTGCCGCTAAGTGAGGGCCTTGATCCGAGGTTTTTCTGGTGCAGTCTTTCCTGAATCTTTTCTAGAGTGAGGAGATTGGTTTCTACTAGTCCTGACTCATTGATGTAGTGTTTGGCCAGGAAGGGGAAAGGAGGGGGTTAGGTTAGAGGAGTTAAAAGGGCTGGGTAAGGGTACCGCAACCAGTGGGGGCTTATTCTATCTGCTGTGAGGCTTTTTGTAGTGGGTGTGAGGAGTATGCCTAGGTAGGTGACAGAAGGGCTGCAAAGTTGAGCCTTAGCCGGGGTAACCTGATAACGTTGGTCGCCTAGAAAATTTTAAAAGTGTAGCAATATCTGCAAGGGAGCACTGCTAGGAAGGACTACATAGTAATAAGTCATCGACATACTGCAATAGTGTGCTGTGGGTCAGGGGACAGGGAACAACATCCTGTGCCAGTGCCTGTCCGAAAAAATGGGGGCTATCACGGAACCTTTGAGGCAAAACAGTCTAAGTCAGCTGGAAAGAAATATGAGTGTCTGGATCTTCCTATGTAAAAGCAAACAGAAAGTGACAGTCGGATGTAAGGGAATGGTGAAGAAGGCATCTTTTAGGTCAAGGACAATAAAGTGAGTGGTACCGGGGGGAATGCGCGAGAGAAGTGTATATGGGTTAGGAACAACTGGAAAGGTGGGGACTACTGCCTCACTGATGACGCGTAGGTCCTGCACAAGGCAATAGGCCCTCGAGCTTTTCCGTACAGGCGGGATAGGAGTATTACGTGGTGAGTTGGCAGGAACTAGAATGTGCTGCTGGAGCAGGCGTGTAATGATAGGTTTTAATCCCTGTCGATGTTCAAGGGAGATAGGGAACTGGGGTCTAGAGGGAAACTTGGAAGGGTCTTTTAGCCGGATGCAGACGGAGTATGGTGCTGGGCGAGGATTGGGGTGGAGGTGTCCCACACCTTAGGGTTAATGGGGACTGGAAACAGGAGTGGGGGGTCAGCCTGGTGGAGCTTGTCAGGTGAGAGGAGGGGGAAGAGGAACGTGAGGTGTGGGGAGGGGTTGGGTCGGAAGTGAACTGAGGCCCCTAGCTTGGAGAGGAGATCTCGTCCTAACAAGGGGACTGGGCACGAAGGAATGATAAGAAATGAGTGCGGGAAGAGGGAGCCATCCAGTCGGCAAGACACAGGAGGAGTCTGGCAGTAGGTGGAGGGAGTGCCATCAATTCCCATGACCATGACAGTGGAGGGGTGGCTGGGGCCACTGAAGGCAGGCAAAACAGAGTAGGTAGCCTCTGTGTCCATGAGGAAAGATATGGACTTACCCGCTACCTGGAGCATAACCCTGGGCTCGGCGAGAGTGAGAGGGGTTCCTGAGTCTGGACCTCTTCAATCTTCATCAGTGTCGAGGAGCTGGAAGGCGCCTCCAGTACCTGGAGGAGGGTCGTCATGTGGAGGCGTAGCGACCGTCCTCAGGTTGGGGCAGTCCGACTTCCAGTGGCCCATCTGCTGACAGTTCGGATAGGGGCGAGTTGGCTCCTTTGGGTTAGGGCACTGCCTGGCCCAGTGGCCGTCGTTGCCGCACTTGAAGCAGGCACCAGGTGGCGCTCGGGTAGTACCTCTTTTCTGTGAGCTCCTGGAGCCGGCCGACCTCAGGGCTGCTACCAAGGCCTGGGTTTGGAGTTGTACCTTCTGTTTTAGCCTGGCCTGTCGTTGGGCCTCAGCTGCTTCCTCTGTGGAGTTGTAGACCTTGAAGGCCAGTTTGACTAAATGCTGGATGGGAGTTTGAGGGCCTTCCTCCGCCGCCTTAAATTTTTTTTGGATATCAGGGGCCGACTGAGAAATGAAATATGAGGCCAAGACAGTTCCTCCTGCGGGGGAGGCAGTCCAACATAAGTCTTTATTTCATTATTTTTAAATATCTTAATGAAATGGGAAAGATAAAATTCATTTTAAAAAACAAGCCTAGAGGTGTGAGGCTAGGCACGGTGCCTCACACCTGTAGACCAAGCACTTTTGGAGGCCAAGGCAAGTGGATTGCCTGAGCCCGGGAGTTTGAGATCAGACTGGGCAACAAGCTAAAAAAAAAAAATTTACAGAAAATACAAAAATTAGCCAGGGGTGGTGCACGCCTGTATTTCCAGCTACTCTGGAGGCTGAGGAAGAGTGCTTGAGCCCAGAAAGCAGAGGCTGCAATGAGCTGAGATCGTGCCACTGCACTCCAGCCTGGGGGACAGAGTGAGACCTTGTCTCAAAACAAAACAAAAAAGCATGTAAAACATAAATAGTTGACTCAAAATGCTATAACCACTTATTAAAATGAACAATTTCAAATACTAACTATACTCTCCCTCTTCGTAAGATAGAAGAACAGAAATTCTTGGACACTGATGGTAGATATACAAACGAGCAGTAATTTTATTCTTAGATAATAGTTTGGGGTTGCTTAAAAACTTGTACATTAGGCCAAGCGTGGTAGCTCACGCCCAAGAAGCCGAGGCAGGCATATCACTTGAGGTCAGGAGTTTGTAACCAGCATGGTGAAACCAATCGCTAATAAAAATACAAAAAATTATCCAGGCATGGTGGTGCACACCTGTAATTCCAGCTACTCGGGAGGCTGAGGCAGGAAAATCACTTGAACTTGGGAGGCAGAGGTTGCAGTGAGCCGAGATCGTGCCACTGAACTCCAGCCTGGTGACAGAGCGAGTCTGTCTCACAAGAGTTGTACTTTATCACGTGACTCAGGCACTCCACACTGCTGTATTAACATAGTGAAGGAAACCTATATAAACAACTGCATTCAAATGTAGCAGCTGCATTGATAACAGACAAAAACAAGCAACTGAAATACACTTCAACAGATAAATGATATACAGTAAGTTTTCATAGCATGTGATTCTTTCTGTAGAGAAGGTCTGGCTATGTTGCCCGGGCTGATCTCTTAACTCCTGGCCTCGAGTGAACCACCTCATTCTCCCAAAGCATCAGGTTTACAAGCATGAGCCACCATGCCTGGTTCAGCATGTCATATTCCAAGCGATACAAAAAGAATGAAGGTCGGGTGCAGAGGCTCATGCCTGTAATCTTAGCACTTTGGGAGGCCAAGGTGGGTGGATCACTTGAGGTCAGGAGTTCAAGACCAGCCTGGCCAACATGGTAAAACCCCGTCTCCACTAAAAATACAAAAATTAGCCAGGCGTGGTGGTGTGTACCCGTAATCCCAGCTCCTCGGGAGGCTAAAGTAGGAGAATCTCATGAACCCAGGAGGCCCAAGTTGCAGCGAGCCAAGATTGTGCCACCACACTCCAGCCTGGGTGACAGAATGAGAGGGTCTCAACGCGAAGTCTCTTAAGACCAAGGAGAGCATATATTCTGAACTTTTCCACATTGACAGCACTCATAAGGCCTTTCTCCAGTATGAACTCTCCTGTGTTTAATGAGACTGGATGTTTCAGTGAAGGATTTCCCACATTCACTGCACTCACAAGGCCTTTCTGTTGTGTGAACTCTGATGATGAAGGAGGGTAGAGCTTCGCTGAAATCTTTTTCCACATTTGGTGCATTCATAAGGCCTTTCTCCAGTGTGAATTCTCCTGTGTTTAATGAGACTGGAACATTCAGCAAAGGATTTTCCACATTCACTGCACTTATAAGGCTTTTGTCCAGAATGAACTCTTTTATGAACATGAAGCGCAGAGCTAGAAAGAAATGATTTCCCACATTCACTGCATTCATATGGCCTTTCTCCAGTGTGAATCCTCTGATGTATAGTCACGCTGTTCTTATTGCCAAATAATTTCCCACATACCTCACACTCATACGGCCTTTCTCCAGTGTGAACTCTCTCATGAACAAGAAGATGATACTTCCTGTTAAATAATTTCCCACATTCCCTACAACTGTAAGGTCTTTCCCCAGTGTGAAGTCTCTGGTGTTCAGTGAGGTGGGATCTGTACCTAAATAATTTTCCACACTCCTTGCACTCATAAGGTCTTTCTCCAGTATGACCTCGCTGATGTTGAACGAGGTTGCCCTTTTGACCAAAAGATTTCCCACATTCTCCACATTTGTAAGGTCTTTCTCCAGTGTGAACACGCTGATGGTTAATAAAGCAGAACTTCTGGCGAAAAGATTTCCCACATTCCCCACAGTGATAAGCTGTCTCTCCAGTGTGACCTCGCTGATGTTGAATGAATTTACCCTTTTGACCAAAAGACTTCCCACATTCTCCACACTCATAAGGTCCTTTTCCAGTGTGAACATGCTGATGATGGTTAATAAGCCTGCCCTTCTGACTAAAAGATTTCTCACACTCCCCACAGGAAAAAGCTGTCTTTCCAGTGTGAACTCGCTGATGCTGAATGAGGCTGCTCTTTTGACTGTAAGATTTCCCACACTCTCCACACTCATAAGGTCCTTTTCCAGTGTGATCTTGCTGATGATTACTGAAGCTGACATATCTGCTAAAGGATTTTCCACAATCACTGCATACATAACATCCATCTCTAGTGAAAAGTTTCTGGTGTGGAATAACTGAGTGTTTGGTGCTGAAGGCTTTTGTGCGTTTTCCACACCCGGAATTAGTTTTTCCCTCCTGAAAGGGCGGGCCGTGCTTAGTTTCACTGTCTGTGTTCTCTACAGGATAAGCGGCTTCTTGTTGGCATAATCCTGAACTGGGCAGAACGTCCTCCCCAAACTCATGGAAGACAAATGGCTCCTGTGACACCCCGAGCTTACGTTTCTTTACAAACGATGCTTCTCTGACACTCTTTCTGCAGAATTTCTCTCCAATATGCTGCTTCTGGTGCTGATTCAGGTTTGCAGTGTCATCCAAGTTTTTTCCACATGCCCCACTCCTGTTCAGCTTCTGCTTCTGATGAGTTTCCTGGTGTTCAACAAAGTGCAAATCATCCCCCGAGATGAGGCCACACATTTCACAGGGGTGAGCCTTCTTAGGAGAAGCAACTGCCCTAGGAGTCCTGTTCTGAGACTCTCTTTGTACAGAAATGCTCTGCTTAGACGGTGCCTCCTTATCTTTTGATCCACACCAACAATCTGAAAGAAAGAAAATGCTGGTCAAGTGCAAAGTACCTCTGACGGGAAGGCACAGCCCACCCACAAGTAAGTCTCACAAATTGAGGAATTATTCTATAGAAATATTTGCAGGAACACAATGTTGGCTTCAAGCTGAAGATGGGGCTGCTGGCCGGGTGCGGTGGCTCACGCCTGTAATCCCAGCACTGTGGGAGGCTGAGGCGGGTGGATCACCTGAGGTCAGGAGTTCGAGACCAGCCTGGCTAATATAGTGAAACCCTGTCTCTACTAAAAATACAAAAAATGAGTCAGGCGTGGTGGCGCATGCCTGTAATCCCAGCTACTCGGGAGGGTGAGGCAGAAGAATTGCTCAAACCCAGGAGGCAGAGGTTGCAGTGAGCGGAGATCGCACCATTGCACTCCAGCTTGGGCAACAACAGTGAAACTGTCTCAAAAAATATATATATATATGTACACATATATACACACACATAATACATTGTATACACATGTATACATACATACATATATACACATGTATATGTATACACATATATACATATATATACACACACACATATATGTGTAGAAGCATATGTCAAGTCCAAGAAAACATGAGTATAATACCGCAGGGGGTGGACATAGATGGTTTAACAATGGGCATATATTTCCTAATATGTAATTGATACACCAATATCAGAGACAACTACAGATGAAAGCACAAGAAAAACAGATGCAAAGTGGAGTCCAGAGATGTGAGTATTAGTGCTGGGGTGGATATCACAGTAGAAGTGGAAAAGTACAGAACTAACAAGTGTGAAACTCTCAACAATAGGGAGAAAAAGACAAATAGTGTGTGCCTACTCATATTGCCACAAAAATACTTGGCAAATATAAATGGTTTCTGGTACGATTTGGATAAATCCCTGAAGTCATGCCCTCCCCCAGCATGGCACTCCTGAGGGACAGGCTCCCTTCGAGCCTATCATGATGAGCCTGAATTGAACCACATTTTATCAAACACCAAGGACTCTCCATCTCACCCCCAGTTCATGGGACCAGATGATATAAGCATGAAGGGAGAGACAGCAGAGATGAACAGCCAACACTAGCTCAGCACAACTAAGCACCTGACAGCCCACAGAAGAGTAAACTAAGTATTACAAGAGAATTCCTAAGTAGGGTCTTGCAAGAACAGTCTATGGTCTATGTAGGTAGTGACAATGTCAATGAAGGCAATTCTCAGCACAGGGAGGTAGGAAGAATTGTCAGATAGAGGAAAGAAATGTTAATAGAACCTGGGCACACAAGAGCTACCGATTTGGACAGTCACCTGACAGCCAGAGAGCAAGCAAAGTGCATTAAAGTGCCTATAAGACTCCTGACTCGGACTCCTTCCCTGGGAGCCTGGAGCACAGGATGTGTTGGAGCTGCTTAAGGAGAGGAAAAGGCAATACACACACCTTACTCCTACCAACCACACAACTCACACAGAGAAGTGTAGAAGGAACCCATGTCGAAGCTCCTTAAGTGAGAAAGACAGTCTTGTGAATGAAAAGGGGAATGGCAACACGAGCTCAGCTCACAGCGTGAGCAACTTACCCAGGGAGGATATAAGTGCCAGGTTCTCTAGCATCACATCACGGTATAAGCACCTCTGAACCTCACTAAGAAGACTCCATTCCTCCTGGGAAAAGTTCACAGCCACATCTTCAAAGGTCACAGTGTCCTGCTATGATAGTAACAGATGAAACCACAAACAGCCCCTCTGCTGAGGTAACACAACCCACCTCTCCCACACAGCCACCCTTGCCCATCGTCCTCCCCAAGGTCCCCAACATAGAGCTGAAACTATGTCCACTGGTGCCTTTGTCTCTTCATGGGCCCACTGGTCAATTATCAACAAGAAGTAGGTGGACAAATAGGTATCCATGCTGAGGTCCGGACATAAAAAGGTCCACCCCCTTCTATGCCGGGTGCGGTGGCGCACACCTGTAATCCCAGCACTGTGGGAGGCCGAGGCCAGCAGATCATGAAGTCAGGAGATTGAGACCATCCTGGCTAACACAGTGAAACCCCGTCTCTACTAAAAATACAAAAAATTAGCCACGCGTGGTGACGGGCGCCTGTAGTCCCAGCTACTCGAGATGCTGAGGCAGGAGAATGGCGTGAAGAGCAGAGATCACATCACTGTACTCCAGCCTGGCTGACAGAGCGAGCCTCTGTTTCAAAAAAGAAAAGAAAAAAAGGTCCACCTCCTTCTGAATAGCGATATCCAAGCTGAAGTAAAGCCCAGGACGGCTGCCTGATTCCATCAGACAAACTTGCTCTCTAAATATACATCATTCTTTATACTGCACAGACACATGCCCATGGCCACCCCCACCTGAATTTCCCACACCTTCAGCCCCTCTCTGGCATCCCCACAAGTAAAAGTTTGTTTTTGGAGGTTGTTTTTGAGACACAGTCTAGCTCTGTCACCTAGGCTAGAGTGCAGGGGCACAATCGTGGCTCACTGCAGCCTCTGCCTCCCAGGTTCAAGTGATTCTTGTACCTTACCCTCCCAGGTAGCTGGGATTACAGCCGTGGAACACTATACCTGGCTTTATTTTTAATTTTTTTGAGACGGAGTCTTACTCTCTCACCCACCTGCAGTGCAGTGGTGTGATCTCGGCTCACTGCAAGCTCCGCCTCACGGGTTCACACCATTCTCCTGCCTCAGCCTCCCAAGTAGCTGGGACTACAGGCGTTCGCTACCACGTCCGGCTAACTTTTTGTATTTTTAGTAGAGATGGGGTTTCACTGTGTTAGCCAGGATGGTCTTAATCTCCTGACCTCGTGATCTACCCGCCTTGGCCTCCCAAAGTGCTGGGATTACAGGTGTAAGCCACGGCGCCCGGCTTGTATTTTTTTTTAGTAGAGATAGGGTTTCACCATGTTGGTCAGGCTGGTCTTGAACTCCTGGTCTCAAGTGATCCACCCACCTTGGCCTCCAACAGGGGTGAGCCACCGCACCCAGTCTCCACAAATGAAATTATTTACCCAGTCGCCACAAATAAAATTATTTCACAAAATGAAGAGGGTATAATGGCCCATGATTCCCTTGGGAATATGCAATGGTTTGTTTCTGTTACTCTGTATCCTGACGAGCAAAGTGTAACAACCTGGAACCCTGGTTCATCGCCTTGATAAAAAGCATTGTTAGGCTAGGAAACGTTATCCAAGAGAGTAGAGTGGGAATGAGATTTGTACTCACACCTTTGAAGGTTGTCCCACTATCACAAGGTGTCAAAGTGACACATCATATTGGGCCTTCAATTCTGGCCTTATACCAAAATGTGGATAAATATCTAGAGTATGCTTGACAAATACAAACAGGATCCAATATCAACACAGAATTTCCACGGTTTCCAAGAGTAGTGGTAATCCCAAATCATCCTGTGAATGTCTCCCTGAGTGACTCCATAGCCACACAGAACCACATGTGGCTTCAGATATCCAAGGCCCTATCCCACTTCTGTGATGCACCAACTGAGACCTCAGCTGTAGCAACCCTCCTCTGTCCACCTAATGCCGTTTAAAGCCCAGCCCCGGATTTGTGAACCAAACCAAATCTACTATCACAGATGAGCATATTTTTCACTGCCCACATGCACGAGGCTGAATGAAACTCCCCAGGCACTTCCAAAGTCCTCTCAAAACGTTTGTGAGTCCAGACAGTAATAAATAGTTGCAACTTTGGCACCGACTCAGTCTTAAGTGTCATGTTCCCTGAATTACTCCTATGCTTCTGCATATATCTATCTCTTGTCTGTTCTCTCCTTGGATGTCTATGTCCCCTTCCAAATTCTACCATCTGATACGTCCTGCCATGATGGTCACTCACACCCTCCAGGTGTTTAGGAAGCCCAATAACATCCCTCCGGGATGTAAGTAAGAGATCCACTCCTCAGCCTGTGATCACACCTTCCTGGCCCCTGAAAAGATTTACCACCATAATCAGAAGCATGTCCTCCCTAAGTGGGACCCATAACTAACTTACCGTAGTTCACCCATTAGCTTTCATATATCGGACATCTCCAGTATCAACACCCTCCCAGATACTGCATCCTGTATGTCTAGTTATCCATTGGATGCCACCACTTATTGGCCTCAAATTCTTCATATGGTCAAACTCCTCTCTTGATATCCACAGTCAATATTATGTCAATACCAACTTCATCTCAGCTGAAGCAGCGTCCATGGTTACAGCTGCTAAGATCAAAAACCCTGGGCTCATGCCCGATTCCTCTTTCATGCCCTTATCATCCACATTAGAAAACCTATCTGTCTGCCAGGTACGGTAGCTCAGGCCTGTAATCCCAGCACTTTGGGAGGCCAAGGAGGGTGAATCACCTGAGGTCAGGAGTTTGAGACTAGACTGGCCAACATGGTGAAACCCGACTCTACTAAAAATACAAAAATTAGCCGTGTAATTACATGCCTGTAATCCCAGCTACTCGGGAGGGTGAGGCAGGAGAACCACTTGAATCGGGGGGGCGGAGGTTGCAGTGGGCCACAATTGTGCCGCTAGACTCCAGGCTGGACAACATAGTGAACCTCCATCTCCAGGAAAAAAAAGAAAACCTAGCTGCCTCAGCTGAGCGCATTGGTTCGTGTCTATAATCCCAGCACTTTGGGAGGCCGAGGCGGGAGGATCACCTGAGGTCAGGAGTTCGAAACCAGCCTGGCCAACATGGTACAACCTCGTCGCTCCTAAAAATATAAAAATTAGCTGGGTGTGGTGGCGGGTGCCTGTAATGCTAGCTACCTTAAGGGCTGAGGCAGGAGAATTGCTTGAACCTGGGAGGCGGAGGCTCCATTGAGCCAAGATGGTGCCATTGCACTCCAGCCTGGGCAACAAAACCAAAATTCCGCATTAAAAAAAAAAATAACAAAAGAAAAGAAAACCTAGCTGAATCTACAAAAAGTGAATCCTGAATCCAGACCCATGTGATTTGCCACATATCTGATCCATTAACCCTCACCTGGATTATGGCAGGAGACTTATCTCTGACCTTTCTTCCTCTTCCCTCAACCAAGAGTCTGTGCAACAAGGTCCTATCAGATGAAGCCTATAGCCAGATAAAACTGGGGTAATATCACCTCCTGACTTTGATCCGTTTTATCTCTAAGCATTTCACAACCTGGAAGCAACTCCTGGCTTAACCTTCCAAGAGTGCATACATTGGTTGACAGAAATGAGAATACCTCCATATAACCTGCCATGGCCTTCGTATCCTGGGTTTAGAGATTCTCCAGGGTCCTCGGATCAAAGGACTGAAAAAAATGGCACTTCAGAGTCCCAGGAGACCACAAGCTACAGTACCTATGGATGGGGTCAGGACCAATGAGGGAATGGAACACCCTCCACTTCCCTGTGTGGGTTCCCTAAGTGCTTCTGCAGCCAGGAGTGCCTGAGGGGAGAGGCAGACATTACAAACATGTCACAGGATTTGATAAGCTCAGGCCTCCCTGAACCCTTTCTTCTCCCTAGAGCCAGGTAACCCTAAGGCTGGTTGTGTGACCTGCTTGTTGCAATGCAAACTGTCATCTCTACCACCTATGAGATCTACAAAATGGATTCAACCTCCCAAGGCCCCAAAGTCCTCACCCTCTCGCTCTACAATGTTCTTCCTTTGATTGGCCTTTGGGAAACTTCTTAAAAGCCTGGATTTGGATCATGTCCCTCCTTTCTTCAAAACTTTCCATGGCTTCTAGCGTCCTCATGATGAATGCACAGCCTTTGGCCTCCTTGCTCTACCAGGAAGAGCTCCACCTCACACTTTGTTCCTGACAGACGCCTGTAGACCCCAGGTTCCATCCTCCCCGCTCCATCCATCTCCGGGCCATTGCCTGCACCCCTCCCTGTGCCTGTCACTCTCCCCACTGCATCCCACTGGTGTCAGAAAGAGGTGAAACAGACTTTGCAAAATTGTAATTGAGGAAATTATGACAGTGAAAGAAATCAGACCTAATTGACTCCATCTTGCTTGCAACCTTTCAGCTGTCCTTGTTCATTCCTGGGCACAGACTGAATTAACTTAGGAAAAGAATTCAGTTCATTGTTTCACTCTGAAACGAAACTGATAATAGCCCTTTCCTGAAAAGACCCCCTTGCCTGGAGACCAGCCTGCCTTACAGGACTAACAAATTAGCTACAAGATTAGAAATTACGGTTTAGGGGTCATGCAGCTTCTGGCTCCAAGAGTCTGAACCTCCCCAAGTTGCTCCTGAAGATAACATCACTATTGTAGAACCTAATGTGGGAAAGAGAGTTTCTGGGGTGCCAGTTGAGTTGGTCTCCCCTGTGTGAGACACCCATGGGAAGCCATGGGTGGCCTCTGAGGAGAAAAGTCTCCTTATTTTTTTTAAGGAGATGTGTCTTTATGCCCCGAAAGCATAACTGCTTGGCGGCATTCCACAGGTTGCTCAGGGAGATAACACTCCCTTGAAGCAGTGGAATATAATCAAACATCTTGGCTCCTCTGAAACCCGCTGCCACCTGTTTCAGTCCCGATAAGTTAAAGATCTTAAGTAGTTTAGACACACGCCTTTGCTCAAGGAAATTCACAGAAACAGCCACTGGTATACATCTTATCAAATGACTCACGAGTTCTCCTTCACTGCTTAATCCTTTTCCTCATTCCTTCCTCCGCCTCCAATCTGCCATAAGAACAAAGAGCCTGTAAACCAATAAATTGGGCGGGGACGCCAGGAAGCCTCCGATGCTCCGGTCCCCTGGACCCACCTTTTAAACACTTATTCTGTCTCTTTCTAACTCCTTTGTCTCCGCCGGACTCGGGGTACCCGCTGGGTGGTGTGGGGCTGGTTTCCCCAACATCTAAGATCAGTGCTTGGGGAATTTTGCAGATCCTGCACTGGATGGATCAGCTGACAACACACAGACCGGTAATCTGGGTCAATCAGTTCTCCCATCCCACCCAGAACAGAAAACAGCATGAAAAACTCACTTCAACCCCCTATGAATCCATCTCCAACCTGACCGATCAGCACTCCCCACTTCCCAAGCCACTACCCGCCAAATTAATTTTGAAAACTCTGATCCCGGAATGCTCGGAAGACTGACTTGAATAATAAAACTCCTGTCACTCGAACAGCCAGACGGCTCTGCGTGAATTACTATTTCTCCATTGCAATTCTCCTGTCTTCATAAACCGGCTCTGTCTAGGCAGCTGGCAAGGTGAACCCACTAGACGGTTACAGAGACCCCTCCCGCGAGCGCCTCAGTGTCCCTACGCCGGGTACTGGCTACAGACCCGTGAGCAGGAGCCGCTCCCTCCCTGGTTTAGGACCTGGGTGACGACGAGGTGACCTGAGGGCACAGAAGGCGCTACAATTACCTGAGCCAGGCGCCTCGGCGCAGTCGCTGCCATCGGACTACTTGGGGAAGCACGGCCCGGGAGCAGTGGGTGACGACACGGGGCTGTAGAGCCGACTCTGTGCACCGAGGACGATTCCTCTCCACCTTCCAGGTTCAGTCACCGCGGTCCCTCCCAGCATTCAGGAGCCCTAAACTGGGCAATCCCCGCCAACACCGATCAACATGGCCGCTATTAGAGGACCCCGGAAGTCTTGGCCTTTCCTTACATGCTCACGTGGAAATGCCTCCTTTCCGAGTCCTCATTGGCTCTGACACGCTGTCGTTTAACGCAGAGCTTTCTGGGTAATGTAGTTCCTCAAGTTCCAAGGCGCTAAAGAGGGTGCTAGGCAGAGGCGGGTCTGCAGGAAAAGCCTCTGTCAGGTCGGGGCTCTCCTTAAAAAGCGCGCCCTTCTGGCTGGGCGCGGTGGCTCACGCCTGTAATCCCAGCACTTTGGGAGGCCGAGACAGGCGGATCACGAGGTCAGGAGATCGAGACCATCCTGTCTAACACGGTGAAACCCCCTCTCTACTAAAAATACAAAAAAAAGTCGGGCGTGCTGGCAGCCGCCTATACTCCCAGCTACTCGGAAGGCTGAGGCAGGCAGGAGGAGAATTGGCGTGAAGCCGGGAGGCAGAGCTTGCAGTGAGCTGAGATCGCGCCACTGCACTCCAGCCTGGGCGACAGAGGGAGACTCTGTCTCAAAAAAAAAAAAAAAAAAAGAAAGAAAAAAGAATAAAAAAGACCGCCTTTCTAGGGCAGAGGACGGGTCTCACCTGGACTTAGAAACTGTGTTGAGATTCGTGGAGACTAATGTTTGTAACTAATCACTCGAGAATTTGGAAAAATACTATTTCAGATTTTGGGGAGCTCAAAGCTAAATAATAGGGAGCTCAAGTTAAAACTATTATTTAGGATTCTCCCAAAGGCTAAAAATCCAAATTACTACACCATTTGATACAGTCGTTCAGTCGCAAAATACCTGCACTGGAAGCAGAGGCTGATAAACGTTAAGTTTCTGAAGGCCCTCAGAAGCATTAGAGTCCCTAAGGCAAATCAAGAAAGCTAGAGATGTGGCTCCCCTAAAGCAGGTGTGCAAAGTTGGATCTCTGTGATTCCTACAGAAAACAACTCTCCTGCTCATAGAATCTGTGAAAGGAAAATCTTATGGCCTGAAAATTACTAAGCTAAAGGGAAAAGTCAAGCTGGGAACTGCTCTGGGCAAACTTGCCCCATTCTATTCAAAGTCATCCCTCTCCTCACTGAGATAGAAGCATATTCTGATTGCCTCCTTTGGAAGGACTTATCAGAAACTAAAAATGCGGGAGGCTGAGGCAGGAGAATGGCGTAAACCCGGGAGGCGGAGCTTGCAGTGAGCTGAGATCCGGCCACTGCACTCC